CTACTACTACTACTACTACTACTACTACTACTACTACTACTACTACTACTACTACTACTACTACTGCTACTACTACTACTACTACTACTACTACTACTACTACTACTACTGATACTACTACTACTACTACTACTACTACTACTACTACTACTACTGATATAACTACTACTACTACTACTACTACTACTACTACTACTACTACTACTACTACTACTACTACTACTACTACTACTACTACTACTACTACTACTACTACTACTACTACTACTACTACTACTACTACTACTACTACTACTACTACTACTACTACTACTACTACTGATACTACTACTACTACTACTACTACTACTACTACTACTACTACTACTACTACTACTACTACTACTACTACTACTACTACTACTACTACTACTACTACTACTACTACTACTACTGCTACTACTACTACTACTACTACTACTACTACTACTACTACTACTACTACTACTACTACTACTACTACTACTACTACTACTACTACTACTGCTACTACTACTACTACTACTACTACTACTACTACTACTACTACTACTACTACTACTACTACTACTACTACTACTACTACTACTACTGCTACTACTACTACTACTACTGCTACTACTGGTCGTGAGTCGTGTCTCTGGTCGTGAGTCGTGTCTCTGGTCATGACTCGAGTCTCTGGTCTTGTTGCAGATGTTCGTGGTCTCCTGGTTTGGGGAGATGTTTGTGGTCAGTTCTTCGTGGACGTTCAAAGAGCTCAGGTCCATCACAGCGACGGAGGAGTCACCCCCCCTGCACACCTGGGACTGCCCCTCCCCCACCTGCTCCACCTCAGGTCAGCCCCTCCCCCACCTGCTCCACCTCAGGTCAGCCCCTCCCCCACCTGCTCCACCTCAGGTCAGCCCCTCCCCACCTGCTCCACCTCAGGTCAGCCCCCCTCCCCACCTGCTCCACCTCAGGTCAGCCCCCCTCCCCACCTGCTCCACCTCAGGTCAGCCCCTCCCCCACCTGCTCCACCTCAGGTCAGCCCCTCCCCCACCTGCTCCACCTCAGGTCAGCCCCTCCCCCACCTGCTCCACCTCAGGTCAGCCCCCTCCCCACCTGCTCCACCTCAGGTCAGCCCCTCCCCCACCTGCACCACCTCAGGTCAGCCCCTCCCCCACCTGCACCACCTCAGGTCAGCCCCCCTCCCCACCTGCTCCACCTCAGGTCAGCCCCTCCCCCACCTGCTCCACCTCAGGTCAGCCCCTCCCCCACCTGCACCACCTCAGGTCAGCCCCTCCCCACCTGCACCACCTCAGGTCAGCCCCCCTCCCCACCTGCTCCACCTCAGGTCAGCCCCTCCCCCACCTGCTCCACCTCAGGTCAGCCCCTCCCCCACCTGCTCCACCTCAGGTCAGCCCCTCCCCCACCTGCTCCACCTCAGGTCAGCCCCCCTCCCCCACCTACTCCACCTCAGGTCAGCCCCCCTCCCCACCTGCTCCACCTCAGGTCAGCCCCTCCCCCACCTGCTCCACCCCAGGTTAGCCCCTCCCCACCTCAGGTCAGCCCCTCCCCCTCCTGCCTCACCTCAGGTCAGCCCCCTCACCTCAGGTCAGTGGTGTACAGACACATGTTCTTGTGGAGGAGTTTGATTTGACAGTAACAGGTGAGAGTGACAGAGCAGTGCCTCCAGTTGGCTTCACACCCCCAGGGAACGTTTCACACCTGGTCCAACTCAGGTCGTGTTTACTCCCCTCGGGTCCAGAATGATGGTGGAAAACTGGGACCGTTGCCATGTCCACATGACCTGATGTTCATGTGACCTGATGTCCACATGACCTGATGTTCATGTGACCTGATGTCCACATGACCTGATGTTCATGTGACCTGATGTCCACATGACCTGATGTTCATGTGACCTGATGTCCACATGACCTGATGTTCATGTGACCTGATGCCCACATGACCTGATGTCAGCAGTGTTGTGAGAGTCATGGCTCCACCTGTTGGTTTCCATGGTTACAGTTGTTCTGGTTCATTGTGTGTATTTCCCACAGACTGTGCACATGAACTCCTCTCTATATGTGTTTGTATAAACTGTGGGAAATCTGGGGTAAATCTGGGGGTAAATCTGGGGGTAAATCTGGAGGTAAATCTGGGGGTAAATCTGGGGGTAAATCTGGAGGTAAATCTTCTCTCTTCTTAACCTGGTGGAACATTTGTGTTTGGTTCAGGAGCTGGTGTGAGACGGAGCTGCAGGAGCCTGTGTCTCACCAGAGGGGGGCGCTGTGCTGGGCTCACGCTCTGCTGTGTCTGCTCAAGGCCTGGGACAGACCAGGGACCCGGGACGGACCGGAGACCAGGGACGGACCAGGGACTGTGCACTCTGCAGGAGTCTGCTGCTCCGGTAAGAATAACAATACTATAATACTAATACTTACACTGATACTACTACTACTACTACTACTATAATCACATCACAATGTTTTACTTCTCTCCTCGTGTCCTCACCTTGTCTCCTTGTCAAGGCCTCCTGGACCTGGACCTCCCTGAGGATCTGGTCCTCTCGGTCCCGGTCCAGTTCTTAGATGGATCCTGGACTTTTGTCTCCAACCTGAATGTCCACGAGAAGATCAGAGACACACTCCTGCAGACAACAAGAACAAGAACTGAACCAGGTCTGAACCAGGACTGAACCAGGTCTGAACCAGGACTGAACCAGGACTGAACCAGGTCTGAACCAGGACTGAACCAGGACTGAACCAGGACTGAACCAGGTCTGAACCAGGACTGAACCAGGACTGAACCAGGTCTGAACCAGGACTGAACCAGGTCTGAACCAGGACTGAACCAGGACTGAACCAGGACTGAACCAGGTCTGAACCAGAACCAGGTCTGAACCAGGACTGAACCAGGTCTGAACCAGGTCTGAACCAGGACTGAACCAGGTCTGAACCAGGTCTGAACCAGGTCTGAACCAGGACTGAACCAGGACTGAACCAGGTCTGAACCAGGACTGAACCAGGTCTGAACCAGGACTGAACCAGGTCTGAACCACTGAACCAGGTGAACCAGGACTGAACCAGGTCTGAACCAGGACTGAACCAGGTCTGAACCAGGTCTGAACCAGGACTGAACCAGGTCTGAACCAGGTCTGAACCAGGTCTGAACCAGGACTAAACCAGGTCTGAACCAGGTCTGAACCAGGACTGAACCAGGACTGAACCAGGACTGAACCAAGACTAAACCAGGTCTGAACCAGGTCTAAGCTCCTTGTTTTTATGCTGGATTTGACTCAGTTGTGAAAGTCGTTTGTGTCCTTCAGGTGGAAGTGAAACAGAAGAATGAAGCTCAGACACAGGTTCTCTTCAGTTTGTCTTTTATTTGGGATGTGCAGCTGAAATGTCACGTGTAACATCCAAACCCGGCGTTTCTTCTGCTTTATTCTGTTCAAAAGACCAAACTGAAGACTTTATGGAAAAGGACAAATTAGAAAATAGAATCCTTTAAGTGCAGTTTTTGAGCGACAGAACACAACGGTTTAAACGGACCCACACTTTTCCTTTTGTGCACGTTGAAGGTTTGTGCGATGGCGCGAGGAAAAGGGACGGTTCACATGCACGTGGAGATTTATACAGAATATCTACACTATTCACAGGAACAGGATTAGTACAAACAGGGACACACTTCAAAATAAAAGCAGACAGGAACTTTTCAAAATAACAGCATGACAAATACAGTAGTGAAAAGGAATTAGGTACAAGTTGGATTAGTCCAGAGAATTGTGAAAACTACGCAAGAAATCTGAAGAGAATTTTGCAGTTTTATCTAGAAATGGTTCACGTAAATTTTCCAAAGTCTAATTTTTTACCTGCTGCTCAAAATCTGTAAAATAATCTCAAATAAACAAGAGCAGCAGCAGCAGCGGCGTGTTGAACTCCTGCCCACGTTCACCTGATTCTCTGCATTTCACTTAAATTAAAATAATTTATGGTCATATATTAACAGTTAAATTTGTGTCAGAAATTCAGATGTCACATAAAAAAAGGCAACGTCATGAAAAAGTCAAATATTCATTCATGATTTCAAAATAAAAGCTCTTCTGTGTCATATGTTACAATCAGAGTAAAACGAACCAATCAGAGAGAGGAACACGCCCTAAAGCCCGCCCCCGTCACACACAGGAGCCCTCTGATTGGTCGAACAGGCTGGATTTCACTTTACAGTAAAAGAAAATCTACAAAAATAAACCGACAAAAACAAACAAAAACAAACAGTGTGATGTGACATTACGGAACATTTTAACCCATTTAATGACAAAATTACAACTTAACATATAATAAATATTTTTGAAAATTGACAAAATAAAAAAGGGGTTAATTTACAGGAATAATTTTGTAGAATAAATATATTTTTGTTTTAATTATGAAGCCATTTAAGCATCAAGTGAAAAATACACAAAATGACAGAAAGTGAAAGTGAAAGTGTAGAAAATTAAACAGGTTAAAATGTTCAGATAAATGTAGAAAATTAAAACCGGGATTTGTATTTTAAAGGCCGAGTCCACACTGAGATTTTAAATAACTGGCCTCAAAGTCCAGGATCTACCACAGGGGGTTTGGACCTGGTTTGGACCCGGTTTAGACCCGGTTTAGACCCGGTTTAGACCCGGTTTAGACCCGGTTTAGAGCAATTTTTGGCATGAACAGTAACCAGTTTTTCAGCTGGCCCAGCAATAGAACCCACAACCTCTACACAAGACTAAACCAAGACTAAACCAGGACTAAATCAGGACTAAATCAGGACTAAACCAGGTCTAAACCAGAGCTAAACCAGGTCCAAATAAGGACTCAACCATAAGACAGGTTTAAACAAAGTATAAATCAATTCTAAACCCGACCTAAACCAGGACTAAACCAGAACTAAACCAGGTCTAAACCAGGTCTAAACCAGGTCTAAACCAGGTCTAAACCAGGTCTAAACCAGCACTATAGCAGGTCTATAGCAGATCCAGATCGGGTCTAAGTCTGGTCTAAACCGTCTTGTGGACCGACACGTGGACGGGACTCTTCAGTGACATTGATGAGGGTCGGATCTGTGGAGCTACGAGTGCCTCAGGTTCGAGTCTGAGTCCAGCTCCAGATCGGCCTGGTCCAGTTCACTTTGGTCCAACAGCTCGAAGTCCTCGTCCTCCGCGGGGACCAAGGTCTCGTCTCTGTCGTCTCTGTCGTCTCTGTCCTCCGCCCGCTGCTGCTCCTCCTCGTCCTCCTCCCGCTCTTCCTCCTCGTCCTCCGCTCCAGGTCCCAGTGTCTCAGGCAGGAACTCGTCCAGACCCGGTTCGTCCCCGTCGTCGCCGGAGCGCAGCAGAGCGGACAGAGTGTTCTGGACCACGGTGGAGATGGCTGTGGACACGATCTCCTCACTCAGAGCCTCCAGAGAGCGCTGGGCCTGCTCCATCACCGCCCGCGCCTGGACCTCACACTGCGCTCGGCCCTCGTCCTCAGTCTGGTCCTGGCTCTGGTCTCTGCTCTGGTCCTGGCTCTGGTCTTGAGTCTGGACCTGTATCTGGAGGTGAGACAAACAGAAGCGTCTGAGTTTCTCATCTCTAAACAGAAAACACACTTCATCGTCATGGAAACACCGCGCAAACTACAACAACACAACAACAACAACAAGTCCCTGAAGAGACACTGAGCCAAACTTCCCCTTCCTCCATGAACTTTGAAACGTAGGACACATGTTCTTCATCATCATCATCATCAGAACAACACAGGTCCATGTCCACGTCCGTCTCCACGGCAACGGTTTAACAGTATGCAAATTATAACGACACGACACAACAACATGATTTACATGAACTTTACCTCCTGCTCTGGACGTGTGTGTGTGTGTGTGTGTGTGTGTGTTGTGTACCTGTTGTTGCATGTGTCCGTTGAAGTGTGTGTGTGTGTGTGTGTGTGTGTGTGTGTGTGTGTGTTGTGTGTGTGTGTTGTGTGTGTGTGTGTTGTGTGTGTGTTGTGTACCTGTTGTTGCATGTGTCCGTTGAAGTGTGTGTTGTGTGTGTGTTGTTGTGTGTGTGTTGTGTGTGTGTGTGTGTGTGTGTGTGTGTGTGTGTGTGTGTGTGTGTTGTGTGTGTGTGTGTGTGTGTGTGTGTGTGTGTGTGTGTGTGTGTGTGTGTGTGTGTGTGTGTGTGTGTGTGTTGTGTGTGTTGTGTGTGTGTTGTGTACCTGTTGTTGCATGTGTCCGTTGAAGTGTGTGTGTGTGTGTGTGTGTGTGTGTGTGTGTGTGTGTGTGTGTGTGTGTGTGTGTGTGTGTGTGTGTGTGTGTGTGTGTGTGTGTGTGTGTGTGTGTGTGTGTGTGTGTGTGTGTGTGTGTGTGTGTGTGTGTGTGTGTGTGTGTGTGTGTGTGTGTGTGTGTGTGTGTGTGTGTGTGTGTGTGTGTGTTGTGTGTGTGTTGTGTACCTGTTGTTGCATGTGTCCGTTGAAGTGTGTGTGTGTGTGTGTGTGTGTGTGTGTGTGTGTTGTGTGTGTGTGTGTGTGTGTGTGTGTGTGTGTGTGTGTGTGTGTGTGTGTGTGTGTGTGTGTGTGTGTGTGTGTGTGTGTGTGTGTGTGTGTGTGTGTGTGTGTGTGTGTGTGTGTGTGTGTGTGTGTGTGTGTGTGTGTGTGTGTGTGTGTGTGTGTGTGTGTGTGTTGTGTGTGTGTTGTGTACCTGTTGTTGCATGTGTCCGTTGAAGTGTGTGTTGTATGTTGTGTGTGTGTGTGTGTGTGTGTGTGTGTGTGTGTGTTGTGTGTGTGTTGTGTACCTGTTGTTGCATGTGTCCGTTGAAGTGTGTGTTGTGTGTGTGTGTGTGTGTGTGTGTGTGTGTGTGTGTGTGTGTGTGTGTTGTGTACCTGTTGTTGCATGTGTCCGTTGAAGTGTGTGTGTGTGTGTGTGTGTGTGTGTGTGTGTGTGTGTGTGTGTGTGTGTGTGTGTGTGTGTGTGTGTGTGTGTGTGTGTGTGTGTGTGTGTGTGTGTGTGTGTGTGTGTGTGTGTGTGTGTTGTGTGTGTGTGTTGTGTGTGTGTGTTGTGTACCTGTTGTTGCATGTGTCCGTTGAAGTGTGTGTTGACGAAGTGCAGGGGGGAGGTGAGGTGTTGGAGGAGGAGGGAGGCTGGACTCAGAGGTTCTCCGTCTGACGAGGCTCCGGGCTCAGGACAGTCCGGGTCAGAGGGGGGCGGGGCCGAGGGCTGTGGGCGGGGCCGAGGCTGTGGGTGGGGCCGAGGCTGTGGGCGGGGCTGAGGCTGTGGGCGGGGCCGTCTCCGGGGCTCTGTGCGGGGGGAACAGGAGGCTCTGTGGGTCCAGGGGAAACTCCTCGACCGAGGGGAAGTCGGGCAGGTCTCTGAGGTAGGACTCCTCTGGGTCTGAGTGAACGCTCTGCTGGTCCAGGTCTGAACATCACACACCAGAAACACGTCAACACGAGTAAAGAAACACGTCAACAAGAGTAAAGAAACACGTCAACACGAGTAAAGAAACACGTCAACAAGAGTAAAGAAACACGTCAACAAGAGTAAAGAAACACGTCAACAAGAGTAAAGAGACATGTGACTCCAGACGAGTGTAAACAAACACAAACGTGTGAGCAGACTGACCCTCGGACACGTCGGTGAGCTGCGGCGTCGTCGCCCTGGAAACAGAGAAACCTCCACTTTCCAAAATGGACGCCTCTTCATCAGAGAGCTCCGAGTCTGTGATGGCCATGGCCAGAGCCGTGGTCTTCACGTCCACCTGAACATAAAACACACACACACACAACACAACATGACACAACACACAACTACACTCTACTGATGGATGTGTGATGCTAACTGAGGCACTGCTCTGTCTGAACCTCTGTTTATCAAATGTGACTTTCATCTCAACACAATCCAACCTGAAAGCCTCAATGAGCTTCACTTGACTGGAGCTCAACACTGTGGTGACGTCACTCTCACTCACAACACGTCTGTACATGATCTGTGCTCACACTGTCCCACTCTAGTACTGTCCACTGTCCCACTGTCCACTGTCCACTGTCCCACTGTCCACTGTCCACTGTCTGTCCACTGTCACTGTCCACTGTCCCACTGTCCCACTGTCACATTGTGCTACTGTAATACTGCTCCTTGTGCCCTTGTGTCCTCATGTCCTTGTGTCCTCGTGTCCTTGTGCCCTTGTGTCCTTGTGTCCTACTAAGTCTCCTGGAGCAGTAGTTCTTTTAGGATTTCCATTGTTTACAGAAGTCATAGTAATAAAAGTGTTATATTCACAGTAGTAGTATTTGTATTATTCACAGTAGTAGTAGTAAAAGTATAATATTGACAGTAATATTTTGTTTTTACCGTGGGGGCGAAGCAGCAGAGTTCTTCTTCTTCACTCTCACTCTCCGTCTCGGCTCTGGGCTCTGCTCCCTCCTCCTGCTCCTTCTTCACCTCTGACGCACAAACAACACACACACACACACGTTACAATCAGACACAACACACACACACACACACACACAACACACACACACACACACGTTACAATCAGACACAACACACACACACACAACACACACATGTTACAATCAGACACAACACACACACACACACGTTACAATCAGACACAACACACACACAACACACACACAACACACACATGTTACAATCAGACACAACACACACACAACACACACACACACATGTTACAAATGCACACAACACACACACAACACACACACGTTACAATCAGACACAACACACACACAACACACAACACACACATGTTACAAATGCACACAACACACACACACACACGTTACAATCAGACACAACACACACACAACACACACACACAACACACACATGTTACAAACGCACACAACACACACACAATACACAACACACACACACGTTACAATCAGACACAACACACACACACACACAACACACACACACACATGTTACAATCAGACACAACACACACACAATACACAACACACACACACGTTACAATCAGACACAACACACACACACACGTTACAATCAGACACAACACACACACACACATTACAATCAGACACAACACACACACAACACACACACATGTTACAATCAGACACAACACACACACAACACACAACACACACATGTTACAAATGCACACAACACACACACAACACACATTACAATCGCACACCACACACAAACAACACAGTGTGGTAGCATGTTGTTAGAGTGTCGTTAGTGTGTCGTTAGTGTGTTGTTAGAGTGTCGTTAGTGTGTCGTTAGTGTGTTGTTAGAGTGTCGTTAGTGTGTCGTTAGTGTGTCGTTAGTGTGTCGTTAGTGTGTCGTTAGTGTGTCGTTAGTGTGTGTTAGTGTGTCGTTAGTGTGTCGTTAGTGTGTCGTTAGTGTGTTTTTGTGCGTTCAGACTCACTCCTCTTGTCGTGTTTGCGCAGTTGTGTCTCTCCCTTCATGCTGTAGTCCAGTTTCATGAGGATGGGCTCCAGACCCGTGTACATTCTCTGGATCAGCTCATGATACACGACCAGAGGCCACAGCAGCACGCTCAGAGCTGACGCACGCACAACACCACACAAACACAACAAACACACAAAAATATAAAAGACATATATATCAGTACTCCATCTGTCCCTCTCCTCTCCTGTTCCCTGTTATCTTCCTGTTCTAGATAATGGATTACTTGTAGAACATTGTAAACGTTCTGCATTCTTTGGTCAGGACATGTTATCTGCTCCGCTGCGTCACCACCTTTATCTCTGCTCACTTCATCTGGACCATTTCAACTAAACCCGAGTCCTTAAAAGTCTGGAGTGAGTTTGTCTTCAGACACGTGTCAGAACGGACTGAGAGAACCAACCAGAGCGGATCTGATCTGGACTTTTGTCTCTGTTAGAATCTAATAAAACTCATCTGTGTTTTTGTTCTTCACTTCAGAGCAGCTCAGAGTTAAACCCAGAGTTTCCTCATGTTTACAGACGAT